CACCTTTGTTCTCAAAACAGGTTAAAATTGGTAATCGTATTCTGCACATAATGTTCTCCCAAGTATAGTCCTTCTCATTCTACATACTAAGTGTAAAAATAAGATTTCAAATTAAATGCACAACTTTACCAGACTGATTTCCACAACTTTAAGCATAAATATACTCTCATATATTTGTAGAGTATAATTATTGATCTTATAGTTAATATACTCTTGAAATAAATGTGGATAAACATTTTCTTTAAACGAACTCAATAGAAAAAAAAATGTAGCCATCTTCAATGCATTTGAATAAGTCCACTCTTTAATTTAAAAAGTGGAGTGAATAATTTTTATCTATCAGAAATACTTATAAAATAAATTACTTGAATATCCTATTCTTCAAAACTAGTTAGGACTTCTCTTCACAAGGCAAGGAAGAGTCTGATAATCTTACAAAGTAAGGCATGTGTGTCAAATTACTTCTGCAATATAATTTGCAATCAAACAAAAATTACAATTGAACATGTGTTTCTCTGGTTACAGGCTTGCATTCCTTAGCACTTACCTGAAAATTGTCATGCTATTTTGAGTAAAAGAATTTCAAAAACATTTCTTTGACTAAACAACTTTTCGTATGCTTTAATCTTTAAACATACCCACTAAATGTATTTTCATGATAGAAAAATCTTAGTGAAAGAGTTCACCATATTTCATCCGTTGCTATATCTGCCACTAAACAAGCATTATTATTGTTGGTAGTGTTTATTAATATATTCAATAATAGACATTACAATTATAATACACTTCAAGAGATCACTTCCCATTCTAGCAAACTAAAGATGTCCTGTTCTTCAATGACACACTAATACCATAGAGGTAAGTGACTAGCCCAGGGTTATATGATTATAGCAGTTACATGAATTTCTTACTGCTGCTCTTATTGGAAAAGTTGTTCTGGAGGCAGCCCTTGTCCTAAAAGGCCCGGTGTCTTGCTAAAATTTCACAATCAGAAGCTTCCACTCCTGACATGGATTCCCCTACTGGGTTGAAAGTTTACACCTGCTTCAGTGGTTTCACTTAAAAGCTAGGCCTTGAAAACATATTGGTGGACAGAGGGAAAACTGGAAGGGTGAAGCTGTATGTTGAATTTCCAGATGGAGGTTTTTCTTTGTGGCTTTGTTCTAGCACAGCTGAGAGAACGCAAGCCTGAAAGTTAGAAGAGAAAGGCTTGGTGCAATTGGAGCATTGCAGTCTGATCACAGACATACACAGTACAGACACATGCAAAATCAAAAGTGTACATGGTCTTGATGCATATTCTTGTTCTCACCCCAAAAGTTAAACAAACTCAGATATTTTTCCTGTCCAATGAGAGAGGCAAGACTAGATAACTTCTAAAAGTGCTTCCAGGGTGAAGACCCAAGTCTTTTGCTACGAACTACTAGTCTTCTGGCTTTATATATTACTCTGACACTTTTGGGTTGAGCCCACAATAAAGGCCATGCAACTAGACTGCTATTTTGCTGGGTCACAACTCAAATGACTAGCCACTGTTGTTATATTTACCCACTTCATCAATTTATATAATTTTCTAGGCACTTGATGGCATTGAGTTTACAGAGAGCATAGAACACTCTCTGTATAAAGGAGGATGTCGTCTGCTTCCTATAGCAATACCTTTGCCACTCCAGTATAATTACTTACTTTTTTATTTTATAATGTCCCTACCAATAATAATAATGAAATCCAAAGACTTTTCAACATGTAGTATGTGAAATGCATTTGGTAAACTGTAAATCTAAATAATAATTGTGGGCTGGGTGTGGTGGCTCATGATTGTAATCCCAGCACTTTGGGAGGCATACACAAGAGGATTGCTTGAGACCAGGAGTTTGAGACCAGCCTGGACAACACAGAGAGACCCTACCTCTACAAAAATAAAAATAAAAAAATAACTGGTCATGGTGGTTCTAGCTGCTCAGGAGGCTGAGGTGGGAGGGTTGCTGGAGCCCAGAAATTCAAGGCTGAAGTGAGCCATGATTGCATGACTGCAGTCCAGCCCTCAACAGAGCGAGACCCCACTTCAAAACAAAACAAAAATAAATAAATAAATGCCAGTTCTATTTGTATAATTAATATCATATGAAATTAAGTCAGTGTTGGGGAGGCTGTGGTTGTTCTAAATATGTGAGTTTTCTAAATGTGTATATTTATGTAACTAGGGATTGGAGATAAAAGATATAAAATAGTGAAAGTGCAGGGCCAACTACCATAGCACCTACAATGTGGTAAGTATTCCATAATTACCTATTGGATGAATGCATGCATGAATAATTTGACCCCAGAAGACTAACTCCAGGTTAAATATTGTGTCCCTTTTCATTTTTCATAGCTAAAATTGAAGTCAGAAAGATCTATATTCCTGAGATGTTTTATACCTTTTCTGGGAAATATCCTTTATGTAACACTGCTTGGTATGGTTTCTGGTGGTCAATAAGTACTGAATAATGGCAATAATCAAAGGAATAGCAGCAGCAGTGCTAGATACTGTGCAAAACTCTTGGACTACATTATCTCATTTAACCTCCATAATAACACTACAATGTTGGCAATAAATATTCTATTCAAAATACAGATGAGGAAAGTAAGAGACAAGGTTAAATAACATGCCAAATTGCACAAAACTAGTGTCTTATAGAGACAGAACTCAAACCAAGGTATGTCATGTTTGCTGTTGCTTTAATAAATGAAGAAGTGCAGGACAAAAATGAACTCAATTATGGTTCATCGCTGCGGTTTTATACTGAGATAAATTGAAAAGGGTTGAGCAGAGAAAGTTTAATTTAGTGAGTGGCTAACTCTATATGGTCTTTGTTGCAGCAAACTCTCAAGTACTCTAAAGTATCAATATGGCCTCAGTGAGTAAAAATAAAACCTGAGAAAGTGAATCACTGGCACAAGGATGCTAGAATCAGAATGCAAGAGAAAGAATTCAGGAAAATACATAGGGATTATGACAGGAATATCTCCATGTGGCTAATAACCATCAATAGAAAGCAGCAAGATCAGCTCATTCATTTTTTATAATTATGTTAAACTTCTTATGTTTAAGTGAAACACCATACTGGAACTCATATTCCTATAACAATGATTCTTGGTATTGTGCAGCAACTTAGAGCCACTGTATTATTTAATTACATTGTATTACAGTTGTACAAATGAGGCAGTTAAGAAAGGTTCCTGGGAGAATGCTGGATAAGCCAACTTTTACCAGGGAATTTTTCCTTTTTTTCTTTACAATTACCTTTCTCTCCTTACCCCCTACTGGCTCCCTTTATTTCTTTCTCAACCTCTCCACATGTTAAATAACAACTAACATGCACATGAATGTTCACTATGGCACTGTTTACAATAGCAAAGACTTAGAACCAACCCAAATGCCCATCGATAATAGACTGGACAGGGAAAATGTGGCACATATACACCATGGAATACTATGCAGCCATAAAAAACAATGAGTTCGTGTCTTTTGTAGGGACATGGATGAACCTGGAAACCATCCTCAGCAAACTGACACAAGAACAGAAAATCAAACACCGCATGTTCTCACTCATAGGTGGGTGTTGAACAATGAGAACACATGGACACAGGGAGGAGAGCATCATACACTGGGGTCTGTTGGGGGGAACTAGGGGAGGGACGGGAGGGTGGGAAGTTGGGGAGGGATAACATGGGGAGAAATGCCAGATATAGGTGATGGTGAGGAAGGCAGCAAACCACATTGCCATGTATGTATCTATGCAACAATCTTGCATGTTCTTCACATGTACCCCAAAACCTAAAATGCAATTATATATATAGATATATATAAAACCCAAAAAACAGCTAACAACTGTATTCTTGGCAGTTTATATATTTCAAAGTCAATATTTTTACAAAGATGGTATGTCACAAAGTGCCCCGCTGGAACAATTGATACTGTCATTTATATAATTAGTCACGGAAATTACATGACTAAATGACTCTGAAAAAGAGTTATCATTAATTGCATTTTGTATATCAAGAAATAAGTTTAATGTGTTTAAGGGTTCATAATATAACAAAGCTAAGACAAAAACTGAAGTGGAAATAAGTAACATTCAACAACAGGCTATAATTTTAAAATATCAGTTAATTTCCAGATTCATGCAATCATATCCCAGAAATGACTATTTTTCATAATACTGTGCCATATGTGGGTGTTCAGTCTTTGAGAAAACAGTTGGGTGGGTGGGTTGCAGCAACATGCCGAATGTATCTGGAAGACAATTGGGGGAGTTTAATAGTAATCCCCTTATCTATGCCTTCCTTATTAGTACCTATTAAAAAGTAATAAATCTCCAGGGTTTTGAAATAGTCCCCCAAAAGAATTAAACACAATGATAATTTCCGTATTAGTGTTGAACTCTTAAATCTGAAGAACACAGTCCAAAAATCATTGCAAGTGCAATTTGCAGAGGTTCTTTAGATCAGGCAGAAAGTTAGAATGTAAAAACTTCAGGGAAAGAAAGGCAAAGAAAGAAAGAAGTGTCCAAATGTAGAGGCTTAGCTCACTCTCTTTCGATCCGAACTTTTTCCATCAAATCCTCTCTTTCCATTTCCATACAGTTGAGTTATGATCTATATATGGAAACCTCCAGATACCACTCCCTCATCTTTAACCCACAATAAAAGTCAAATGTCTTCTGCATTTATCAAACTAACACATAGTAAGGCTGTAAGTGGCAATGGAGAATAAAAGCTCCTTGGCATTCTCAACTTGTATATTTTACATTTTTAGCTTCCCCAAAATATCCTGCATGATATTTGAACTGCGGAATTACTGTGCCATTTGCAAAATGTCTGATTGTGTTTTTTTTCCAAATTCCAACCAATGCTAATGTGCCCTAAGATACCACATATTGCTACCCTCTTAAGGCATTTGAATGTGAAATTATCATCCACAATAGCATCATAAGAGAGGAATAAAGACAGATTACCTGGGGTTAAGAGGATGACTGACATAGTGATGAGTGAGCATACAACTAAAATCACCAGCAGAGCAATAGCAATTCCCTTCCAGTTTCTCTGTGGAGGGCTGTTACTTCCCAGTTCCTACCGAGATAGAAAAAAAAGTTTCATAATTATACATGCTCCAAGAGAAATGTATTCATAAAGAAATGATTCAGTGCATGGCACAATCACAGTTTGAAAGCTTATTAGAATCCATTTCCTCTTCGGTAGTTCATTTAATTATTCAAAAGTGCATATATTATAAATGGCTATCTTTTGGGGGGCAATCTGATCTCTCTGTGAGATAAACCAGCAGTTTTATGCTTCCTGTCCAAAATGTAGATGGTGTGAAAATGAATTGACTATAAACACCAGGATGATAGCCAAAATACTCTGCAAAATAATTATGGAAATAGACTGAGTCCATTTACATTTATCCTTGCTACAATGAAACTACAATGAAGATTTAAATATAAATGTTCTGAAGCACTGTGGACTACTTTCTAACTGGATGGGGGAAAAGATTAGAAATAGGAAAATCATTCAAAATATCCCTCACTGCAGAGCAGCACACATTTGTTAACCAAACAGGTCTTTTTTAAACAGATCTCCCACTACTCATAAAAACTAAAGGATGTAGTAACTAAATTAAATAAGTCCTTCTATATCTGGTTAACGATGTTCTCTCACAGGGCAGTATGCATGATATTGACAAAGGTATGGTTGATGGGGAAAATAAACTTGTACATCTTTCACAATGCATGTGGTAAAGCTTTCATTGCTCCAATGATCTGTGTTTCTACTGTGTTGACTAGATATGTGTGGGCATAATTCACTGAAGCAAAGCACAGACCACATTGATTTAAAATGAATGTCAGCTTTTCTTTGCCATGAAATTTATAAAACACTGAGCCTCTCATTTTTTTGTTCCTACCCCATTTCCCAACTGGTTTTCATCCTTTCTCAATACAGTCTCTTTATTCAGAAATAGCTAACTGATTTGGTGATACAAGAAACAAAACACGAAGGTATCCAGTTCACTACATGTGCACAAATCACCCAAGAAGCTATAGAGCAGCTTTGTTTTAAACAAAAATAAACAGAATAGCAAACATTTAATAAATTGTACATGAGTTCCTGTGTTTCACAGATTAAAACATTGAAGCCAATTTTCATATAGTGATTTTGGCATTGAATTGTGCCATAAACCCATCAGATTTAAAGAACTAGACTCTAAATAAGCACAAGAAGAAACCATGCATAGGAAACATTTGGTTGTTTGTTGTTTCCCTTCTCAGATAAATCACTCTAAGTTAGTCTTTCATTCTGTTAAACCAAATCCAGGAGAGATCAATTCCACTTTTTGTTCAATGACTTGCTCCACACCTCTTTTTCAAATACCCAACACTTGTATTGCTCTTGCACTTTAAGATTCCCATTCATATTTTTCACGTAAATCAAGAGAGTGAGTCTCCCAAATTATCAGCTTTAGAGAAGTGATATAAAGACAGTGAATAGTTGTCTTGAGACCATAAACCCTTATCTGGAAGACAATGTTCCTGCAGATTTCCAGGTGAGGTTTTTTTTTTTTTGTTTTTGTTTTTGTCAGAATGTCTGTGCTGTGATGATTGGTGATTCTCTATCATAATGCCCTTCTTCAAGGCCACTCAGAAGGTAGAGTGACAGAATCAGAGAGGCTGCTGCTGTAAATCCAAGTTTATACATTGTGAAATACTTATCTCAAGAACTGAGATGGTGAAAAAGGGTCAGTAACCAACAGCAAATGGGTATCTGGGCCAAGAACCACAAATATTTTCCAATGTATTAACTCTAAGGGAGACAAGCAGGTATTATTATTTCACATTGTAAAAAAAAAAAAGGGGGAAATGAATAGCAATGCGACAATTATAACTGACTTTTCCATTCCATACGAGAATCAAAGAAAAAATTATAAACCGAAATGAACTGATTATGATCTTGATACACTGTCACTCCAACTCATGACAAACTATTTGAGAAATGACTTTTGACTGTGCTTTTCAGTTTGTGACTATGATAAAATCATGTAATGTCTACCAGACATGATCTAATGAAGAGTAATAACAGCTTAGATATTTTATTATGTGTCTGGGAAATATTTTAGATTTGTAATCTCACATAATCCTCAAAATAATCAGGTAAGATTAGTGTCATCTCGACAAATTTGCAGATAAGAAAATGGGATTAAAAGAGATTAGTAACATATCCATTTATTGCTAATAAGTGGGACAGCTGGAGTTCCAGTTCATAAAATCTGATTACAAAGATCATATTTAACCACTATAATGCCACTTGTAAAGATAAATATTTCTAGAACAATACATTAAAGAATCAATAAATCAATAAGTTATGTAGACCCACGCATAATTGTACATCAATACGTTTCATTTGGAAAGATTCAGAGTAATATTTGGAATTCATTAATGCTATCCTGAATTCAGTAATATTTGCAAATAAATGTCTATTTTCCCAATTATGACTGACTAGGAAGTCTACCACTTAAAAAGTGGTAAAACAAATTTGAGTGAGACATATTTTTCTGTTCATAAAGTGATGCACATAAGAATGTGTGTTTCCCCTGAAATGACTCATCAATGCCCAAGGCATCTACAAGTCGCTGTTTGAGAACTGCTGACTTAATGAACACAATATAATTCTCCCCTTTACATCCACCTTATATTCTATTACCATTGCATTTCTAAAGCATGGTGTTACTTGCATTACTTTTATTCTTCAAAGTTCTTTAACATCTTTACACTAGCTATAGAATCAAACACAGATGTGTGAGTCTAGAAAAATAATTATCTATATCCATGCTCCAGCTCCCCCAGCCAGCAAAATCTCCTTTTGAGAAAGAATACTGTATTTCATGATGCTCTGATTATCATTTCCTTACATTTGCCTCAGGTGCTTCAACCTTCATATCACCATTCCATTCCTAATTCTGTTCCATCCAGCCCCTTTCATATGCATCCCGTTATACACACTGTCAGTCATTCAACATCCTGCTCAAATGTCTCTTCTCTTGGGAGTTTCTCTTTGTTATATAAGCCAGATATGACTTTCCTTTCTCTGGAAAACAAAGCCTAAAATACACTGCACCAATAAGTTTGAATACAACTCTGCTACTTGAGAGCTAGGAGGCTACAAACAGACTTCTAAATTATTCTAAGCCTCAATATTTTTACCTGAACTGGAATAATAATGATAATTATTTTTAAATGTTGGAAGGATTAAAATAAAATAATTCATAAAAGTCTCTTACCTAAGTACACAATAAGAAAGTTTACACTAAGCAAACTGTTTGGAATGGTCTCCCTCAATACACTTGCACTCTTTCTCATCATTCATAATATCATAAATGAATATCATCATCATCGTGAATGGTAGTGATGCTGTTGCTTAAAACGATGTATAAAGATCCATCATATCCCTGTTGTTAAAGTTATTAACTCCTTAAGAATCACATCTTAAAAATTTTTTTTATTAAAAATCTTTTTCAGAGGGTCTTGCTCTGTCACCCAGACTGGAGTGCCCTGGCACAATCATAGCTCGCTCCTGGGTTCAAGTGATCTTCCTGCCGACACCTCCTGAGTGGCTAGGACTACAGGCATGTGCCATCACACTCAGTTAATTTTTTAAAATTATTTATTGTAAAGACTAGGCTTTCTATATTGCCCAGGCTGATCTTAAACTCCTGGCCTCAAGCAGTCCTCCTGTGTTAGCCTCCCAAAGTTCTGGGATTACAATCATGAGTCACTGCACCCAGCCTTAGACAATTTTAGATTCCTTACATCAGTTAACAATCTCTTGTTCTCTTAATAGGTGCTTGGAAAGTAACTGGCCAGTTAATTAAGTGGTGATGATAGTGATCCTAATTGACTTTGTTTTGATGACTTCCTACCACCCAACATCTGGAAACAATAAATTGTCCATGCCAGACCAACAGAACAGATATGATTCTGTGCAGCAGCCTTAGGCAAGGGACATGTTAGGAGCTTGCAACATCATCATCTGGATGCTGTGGTGGCAGAATAGAGTGCATGTTAGATTATGATATCACAAGGAGGGGTCTAGAAACTTAGGGACAAAGATTGAATAATCCATATATGGTGCTACTTTTGTAAATGAGCCCTCCAGTGGATGGATGCATCCATTGAAATGCTGTGTTCAATGTCAGATTATATGAAGTATTGTGATTACCTAGAGACACATTAATGCTATAGTCCAAACTAAACTGAGTCTGTAACCTAACTATTTACATTATATCTACCACCAACAAATTGCTCATCACCCTTCAGAGAACAGCTTAGTTTACAAGACAAGGCTTACCATTATAAAGATAGTTTATCTAAGTCTAAATTCATTTTTTATTTATTTAGGTTCAAGGAAAAGATTCTGGAAATCATAAGTAGGAAAAATGCAAGTGTCATACACCATTTTATTTGGGAAAATATAACCATCAGATTTGTTTTTCTTCATAAGGAGGTAAAGGATGCCAAACTTTGTTTTTTTTTAAACAGTATTCTGCTTTTACTTTCCTTTGGAAAACGTCAGTCTATTTATCTGCCATATGTACTCTGAAGAGAAATATAATCTATCTATATTAAAATAGTCTAAAAACATGACATTTAAAGAAAATACAAGGAAAAAATCATTGGGATATTGAAATTATGAGACTAAATTGAATATGGGTGTGCTTTAACAAAAATAGATTTTCTCCAACCACACCTGTCTACTTTCTAAGAAGCACAGGGAACGTTCTTTAAAAGATCTGCAATTCTGTTTGAAAAGATGTATTTAGGTTTCTTAGTTTTAGAGTATTAACATTGTTTACATTGATTCTTAGTGCTGTTCCTAATACAATCAAACCAATCACTAAAAAACTTAGTTCTTCACTTTTCTTTTAACCTTTCCCTATATTTAGTTGTTTCGATATGTCTTCACATAGAATCTTAAATTTTTCAAAGAAGTTCAATAAAGTTCCTCAATATTAAAAAAAAGGGCATCCTCTTCTATCAGTTCATGTTTTGTTAAAAAGCTCAAAAGTTTGAATTTTTTTT